GATTGTTTGCCCGTCCTCAACACGTAAATACAAAGCTAAACAGAACAAAGCAAACTCATCTCCCACCCTCATCCCGCCTATTCACCTCTCATTTCTCTTCTCCCTCTCTCTCGCTCTATTTCTCCTCATTTTCAATTTTCCCCTCTCTCCCTTCCTCTCTCTCTCTTCTCTCTCTCTCTCTCTCTTTCCACTTCCCCATTTCCCCTTTAACTCCTCAACCTTTTCCGCTTCCTCCGATCACCCCTTTTCTAGAGCCCCTTATCTTCCACGAAAACGCACGCCAGTGCCGGCGGTGCCTCCTCCCTACATCATAGCTTGGTTCCGTTCAGCGAACCGCTGTCCTAAGCTATCGCTAGTCTTGACGAATTTGTCGACGCATCTGCGAGAAGTAACAGTTTTTCCAACCTTCCGATTTAGCAATCAACAACGGAACAACAATCATGGCCCCCACGAAGAAGCAGCTCCTTCAGGATGAGTGCAAGCATCTTGGACTCTCCTCTTCGGGGACAGTTCTTAACCTCACCGAGCGCATAGATAACCATAAGAAATCTAAGCTGATTTCGTCAGAGGATGAGCATCTAATGTGTGATGCAATACTGGTCACCAAATCCACGGTCGGTGAGGATGATGATATGAAGACGGAGGCTAAAGAAGCGTTCGAGAAGGAACTACAAAAAGAGGAACTCGAGGTCGATCGTGTGAGGGGAGAGGTTTGTGTTGGCAATCGCCGCGGGCTTAATCTCGCCGGTATGAAGGCAAAGCTCGATATGCATGAGAGCAAGATCGATTTGCTTGAAACCCGAACCAAGGACCTCGAAAGCGAGGCCAAAGAGCTGAGAGCTCGTGTGACCACATTGTCGCTTGCTGCACAGGACTATAAACAGGTGCGACGGAGGTTTATTTCCACCTTCAAGCGGGTTAAACTACCGGACCAGATGGAGGAGTCGGACTATGATATTATTCGAGATGGTAATTCAATAGCACACGGAGGCGACGCTGCAGTAGACGCCTTGTTGTACGAGGGCATCGGGGGGAGGAAGGATATATATGCGTTCCAGCAACTGTACGGATTACACCCGTCCGATGTTAGAAGGATTAGTGAGTAACCCTCGCTTTCTCATACGGGTACCTCAAATTAAGTATTAAGGCTAACTTCTCCAGCGCACCACGAGACACTGAGCGTCCTGGACATTCACGCGGGGGTCCGGGCCGATGAGCGAAAAACTGGGACTGACGAGTTCTATCAGAAATTCGCAGATTTTATCCTCGCATTCCAAAAGTCCAATTTAAATACGGACTTTTTAATTGGCGAGTCTGCGAACCCAACTCGGGCCGCCTACGGGGCACTGCTTAAGTGCCAAAAATACAAGGATGGTGAATAAGGTATGATGAGAGGCGTCCTGCGAGGGAGACGGTAGTACTACTTTCTGCCATACTGACAGTGGGTTTTTGGCAGGGACCAAGGGCGCATGTCTCTTTTTTTTATTTTTTTTTATTTTTAATCGGTAGACAAAAAATAAAACATTAAATCAAACAAAACACAAACGATAATTGGTCTAATCAGGGTCTTGTCTAGTACTGTACTGTACTGTACTGTAATCCCCCCCAACCACCTCCGCACCAGCAGATCACCATAACAGACGGGCAGCTATCTATCATAACATCACAGAAACCCTCACTTCACGATACAATCATACCGTTTTTTTCTTTTTCTTTTTCTTCTCTTCTCTTTTCTTTTCCATTATTGCGGGGTGCGCATGAGCGGGTAAAAGTTAATCTACCATACAGTAGACCATATCGCAACGCTCGAAACGTACAGTACGAGTACAGTACTCCAAAACTACCGTATCGTACCGTACCCATAATACAATACCATAACTGTTATGTACGGGTACAGTACAGTACAAGTGCAATGCAATGCAAATACAAGGTTACGCACCGCCCATACCGATAGATAAATAAATAAATGAATAGGCGGATAAAATAGATAGATTTACTCGAGATTGCGATCACCGGCGGGCGGTCAAAAGTGTTTTTATTCTTTTACTTATTTTTTATTTTTTATTTTTTTTATTTATTCGGGGGTCGCCACGTGTGCTTTCTATTCCACCACTCACTTTCACTGCAAAAGCACTGTACTAATTAACTTAGTGCTTCGTACTTGTGAAATTGTCATACGTCGAGACCGTTGCCAAGACGGAAAGGGAATTTCTAAAATTGGCGTTTGGGGGGTGGGGGTAAATTTAGTTTGTGCAATGCATTTACCGTTTACTACACAAGGAAGGAAAAGGAATTATCCTAAGGGATTGATTGTTGGGGGGAAGACATCGAACCAGGTTGTTCTGGATGATTATTTAGCCGGTGAGTTCAGTTCAGTTCAGTTCAGTTCGGGTGAGTCGAGTTGAACCTCATCGGCTTCAAGGGTGGTTATCACACTGCACAGTACTGTATTTGTATTGTATATATCTATACTCCTCAATTTACCGTCTTGGCAGCGGTCTACGGTGGTATGCACACGGGTGGTTGCGGTGCAGTACAGTACTGTATGATACAAGGACCGTGCAAGTGATTGCGGCTGGTGTCGGGATGTATTATAATATCATGATACCACACTTGTACTGTATATACGGTGTCATATTACAACGGTACGGTACCCGTGGGGGGGGGGATCGTTACAGTAGGGCCGGGACATAGACTGCACAGATGTGGTATCATATGGGGTATTATAGGAAACGGGGGATATGTGGAGGGGGGCCAACTTGGTACAAAACTACTGTAGATCCTTGGCTGTGCTGATAGGGGATTTCTTGTATCATACGGAAGTCTCCGGGGGGAAGGTGTAATATCATAGTCTGGCGGCAGCTAACACTTAGGTAGCGCACTGACACTATGATACAAACAATACATAGCAAGCTCGGATAGACTCAGACATCGGTACCACCCCACCCCACCCTGCTTACCCGAGTACCCGAGTACTCAGTTCCGGGAGTGCAGCGTTGTAAAGCGGGAGGGGCTTTCGTGTGTGATGTGCCGTTGTACGGTACCGTACGAGTACCGGTACTCGTACAGTAGTCCACTCTACCATGCTTGTGTCACGTTCCGTCATCTTGAACACGGGTGATGTGCTACTAGGTTGACTGTACTACCGGTACTATCATACAGCACCGTGCTCTTACTGTATGATACCCTATCAAGCACGGTACGAAAAAAGAAAAAGAAAAAAACACAACCTACGACTCCGTACTTTGACAGGAGGAAAAAAACTCTCCTGTTTCTAGTATCATACCCAATTAAACATCCATTAAACTAAACGCATAGACAATCCACTAAACCTTCCGTAACAATAGCAAATCACAATAACCCACACAAACTCGCACTCACCTTACAAAATACCGGAGGTGAGGGGAGAAGACAAATCAAAAATCTACGACACAAGACCAAAACGCCAGCCAATACAAGGTAATAATAATAAGAATAAAAACAGAGGAAGAGAAGAAGGAAAAAACCAAACACTCATCACAATTAATCCACAGGACGTGTGGTATTAATAACAAAACATTTGAGTTGAAGAATTTTCTTTTCGAAAAGTGGAGAAAAGATAAGGAGATATGGCGCTTACAAACAGCCAAAAACAGACGGGGCCAAGAAAAAAGGTCAATAAAAGGTGATGGCGAGGGTGAAACCACCACACCGTGTAAATGATAGGCTAATTATTTTTCCCGAGCGATTGGAGGTTGACCAGCTCGTAGTATCTTCCACGCTTAGCCATGAGCTCTGCATGGTTTCCCCTCTCGGCGACTCGCCCAGCGTCAAAGACATAGATGCAATCTGCGTTCTTGATTGTAGATAGACGATGCGCAACGCTCACGGTTGTTCGTCCTTTGGCGGCGGTATCAAGTGCCTGCTGCACCACCTGCTCAGATTCGGAATCCAAGGCGGATGTAGCCTCATCCAGGAGTAGAATCTTCGGGTTTCTGATGAGGGCTCTGGCGATGGCAATTCGTTGCTTCTGTCCACCAGAGAGGAGAGCGCCTTTGGAACCACAGACAGTCTGGAAGCCCTCTGGGAGGGATTGAATAAAGTCATAGATATTGGCAGACTTGCAAGCGGCAGTGATCTCTTCATCGGTAATGTCGTCACGGTCACCACCGAGGAGGATGTTCTCGCGAATGGAACCTTGGTAGAGAGTTGGTTCCTGGCTGACGAGGGCGAGGTGGTTGCGGTATTGGTTAAGGTTCAAGGTGGCGATATCACGGCCGTCAACATAGACTCCGCCGGCAAGTGGGTTGTAGAAGCGCTCGATCAAGCCTGTGTTTGTTAGCTGGCTATACTCTACCACGGGGCGAGGATCCTGGCTCACTGATGGTAGTACTCTTTCCACATCCGGAAGGTCCAACAAGCGCGACATACTGTCCAGGCTTCACAACTAAATCCAATCCGCGGAGTACGGGCTGTTCGGGGCGGGTGGGATAACGGAAGTGGACGTCACGGAACTCAATAGTACCTTCCATTTCTGGAACAGGCGCTCCATCGTTGCTCCAGGTATCAATCTCAGGCTTGCGATCAAACAAAGTTTTGAGCTCAGAAGCAGCATGTCTGGCTTTACCCATATCCGGGGCAAACGAGAAGATGGTTCCTGCAGATTGAGCGCCAAAGATGATACTTGTAAACACCAAGAAGAATTGCATCATGTTGTACTATGAAAAAGTTAGCATCGTATTTTCCGAGCAACGCTCCATGATAGCATACCTCCCCGGTCTTCATCAGAGTACCTCCATACCAGAAACCAAGAGCAATAACTAGGAGAGTTAATGATTGGGAGCCAGCATAAAGAGTAGAGCTCTTGAGCACGCTACTCAGGCTCTTCTGAATCTGACCCTTGAGCTCCGAGTGATAATGGTTCCAAACATCATTCTCGCGAGTCAAGCTAGCAACAGTCCGGATGGCAGCAGTAGCTTCACAAGCGAAGCTAGCAGACCTCTCGTAGGCCTTCTTACTCCTGCGCTGGAATTTGGCCAGCATCCAGAAACGGAAGTAACCGCATCCCAACAGGATCGGGATAGTCGATGTGCAGACCAACGCAAGTTTCCATCCAATCGCGCAACTCACGGAGATAGCCGCAACAAGGGTGGTAGTAACAATGAAGAGTGTTCCCAAGGTGACACCACTCATACCACTAAGATGGGTAGTCTCGGTTGACAAAAAGCTAGTAAGGGCACCGGTAGAGTTCTCCTCACGATCAAAATAGGCGATATCCTGTCTCATGATGGTCCTGAACGCACGATCCCTCGCCCTGTGAACAAGCCTCTCGGAGCAGTAGGCGAAAGCAAGGCCCTGGAAAAGGTAGGCCATAAGTTGAACCATGGCGAGCATGAGATACATAGCGGACCAAAAGTTTGCATCCTTGCGAAGCTGACCGTATTGAGATGGGGGAAGAGAGAGCGCAACAACGGACTTTGAGAAGAATACGGCCTGAGTAGGATAACCACCCCCAGCAATGATGGAGAAGAAGAGACCGACAAACATGTAAAACTTTTCGCTCGAGTTGAAAGAAGCGGTAAGCTTAATAAGCTCCCAGAGTCCATAGTGGGGCTTGGCTTCCGGTGCCCTATTCTCTAATGCAATATGGGACTTCGACTTGCTCGTGGCGGTCCTACTGAGTTTATCCGCAATGTTCGCATCCCCCGGGTCCGCAGCGCTAGCGCCCTTGGTCTTGGTGCGCGAAAGTGTCAGCCTGAGCCTTTCATCATCGTCGGTGTGAGAGATGCCATCGGCTTCAGCACACCCCTCATCCCCCTCGGCCGAGATCCGCTGGGCCTCGACAAGGTTGTAATACGCGCCTCTCCTCTCCAAAAGGTCATCGTGGGTGCCGGATTCGACAATGGTACCATTAGACATGACAACGATGTTATCAGCAGTTTTGATGGTCGACAGACGATGAGCAATCACAATGGTCGTTCTCCCCACGCTCGCCTTGTCCAAAGCAGCTTGCACAACGCCCTCGCTTCTGGTATCGAGCGCGCTGGTAGCCTCATCTAACAGCAATATCTTGGGGTCACTGACAATAGCCCGGGCGATCGCAATTCTCTGCTTCTGTCCACCGCTCAACAAGAACCCGCGTTCGCCGACGTTCGTATCATATCCCTCCGGCAAGCTTCTGATAAAAGCGTCGGCATTGCTCATGATACAAGCCTTGGTGACAAGTTCCCGCTTTTCTTCCTCGGTGGCGTTTTCCCATTCCGTTCCGATCAACCCGTGCCAGACGTTCTTGAGGATGGTCGTCCCGAACAGGACGGGTTCCTGAGAAACCAAAGAGATGTTCTCCCGGAGCCACTTCAAGTTCAATTTGCTGATATCATGTCCGTCAAGGTATATATTCCCACCAACGGGGTCGTAAAACCTCTCCACTAAACCAACAATAGTCGACTTGCCCGAACCAGAGGCACCGACAAGCGCGGTGACTTTTCCGGCAGGGACGACGAGGCTCATATCGTGAATCACGGGGACCTCCGGTCGAGACGGATAGATGTGCTTAACGTTCCGGAGTTCGATTGTGCCCTCGACATGCTTCAGCTTCTCACCCCCATCAGCCTCAGGGTCGAGTGGTGACACGCGGTCAATAGTGCCGAAAATCTTTGCAGCCGCGGCAACGCTGGTGGTGAACGCCTGGCCATTCGGTGCAACATTTCCAAGGGAGAACGCTGTAACAGTTAGCTTTTGCACTACAATTAGGTAGAAGTTGCAGCCCACCTCCAATCATTACAGCCAACAATACAGTTAGAATAGCACTTAAGGTTGTATCGCCCGACACCAAAAATCTACTCCCCTGCCAGAAAGCAAGACCATAGTTCAAATACACGACACACATCATGAAACCCAGCATGAATGCCAATGCAGATTTTTGCTTCAGACCCCATTTCTCCGCAACTTGGAGATGGCCGTCGTATTGTCTTGCGAGTTTGTCCTGGGTATTGAAGGCGGTAGTATTCCTGATGGATGAAATGACCTCTTCCACCACGGTGCCGCCCTCGGCATATGAATTGATTGACTTTTTGTTGTACTTGATAATGAAGGACGAACCACCACCCATGACAAGAGTGATAGCCACAACGGTGGACAGAAGGATGAAGGTAAGTTTCCATGATTTGATGAACCCGATAATGAAGGCGGTGAAGAAGGTGGACAAAGCGGTAAGAGTAAGGCCGACCTTCTCAGAGATGCCATCCTGAACCATATTAGTGTCGGCCGTGATCCTCGTGGTAATCTCTCCCGCACCAAGCTTGTCAAAGAATGCGATATTTTGACGGAGAATTGCCCTCAGATATTGCTCACGGATCTTCTGCGATATATGTTCCCCGGCGTAAATAAATCCTACGGTGGCAATATATATCGTCACGAATTCACCAATGCCGAGGTACAGAAAATACCTGAGGCCAGGGTTAGCCTCAGACGATATCGCGGCATATATAGAAGAAGGAAACGACGAAGAGGGAAGCATACAGAGTAAACCTATTCAGCTCGGACTGCATCTTGGCAGCAGTGATAGTGCCCAGCGCAAACTTCTGGAAAGTGCCCCCGAGCTCCCCAAAAATGATTGTCATGAGTGGCATAGCGGCACCCCCGATAATGGCCGCGATGGCAGAGATCACAATGATAATCACATCATTCCTAGAGGCAAAGCGGAAGAGGGTGGAGTAGTTGAGGTCGACCTTGGGCATGTCAAGCTGCTTTCGAATGACTTCGGCCTCTTCGGGGGGCAAATGCCCTAGGGGGTCATCCTCTTTGCTATCCTCATTCATTTGGACAATGTGAGAGTCGGGTTTGTCCAAGCCATCTTGGGTACTACCGTCACTACCATTGCTGGCAGCGGAAATCTTCTCGTCAACCACGGCAGCTCGGTGAGTGGCACCCGCAGCGGATATCTGCTGGTTCTGATCGTTGGCTGACACGGCTTGGCCCAGGACGAGCTTCTCGGGGTCGGAATCGGCCGCCATTGTGAATGGCTAGTATAAAATAAAGCCAGCGGACGAGTAACTCCGGATGACGCCAAGAAATAATTTTTCTGAGGAAGGCTGTGGGAGGAGGTCTTTATTATAAAGGCCTTTGTCCACGCCGCTAATTGTCGTCCCAAGGCACCGAAAAAGTTTCGTCAAACCTATGTCCCAAAAAGGAAAATGATGTTAGCAGCCACCACTTGTATCATAAGATGCGGCTCGCAAGTAGGGAAAAATAGATATTCAATAGACGGGGCCTCGAGACCGGTAGGAAAACCGACAGGACCGGGGGGGGGGGCTTCAAAACATGCCAATTCCAGTTATCAAACCGTCCAACCAAAGATACCGTACTCGTAGAAAAGAGGGGGAAAGGATATGATAAAAAGAAGGCACCCTTCCAATCTCTTTCTCTCTCTCTCTCCGCAAAATATTACCGGTATAGGGGAGAGAGAAGAAAAAGATGGGGATAGCAGATAGGGGGGAACGTTGAAAGCTCGTATATATATATTCCTTGGGGGGGAGGGGAGGGGGTAAGGGATTGTATCCAGTTTCCATGAGCCAGCGCAATAGACCAAAGCCTTGCGGCAAAATCAAAGCGGTCCCAATGAAGGCTTTAAAAGACCTGTTCAAATCTCTTGAATCTCGGAATCAAGAAGTTCCGAGTCCTATTGTCACACGGGGAACCCCCCCCCCCCACTCCAATCATAACCAATTAGCTTCTCTGATTCTAGTCTTCGGTTCCCCCACCACAGCCTGCTGGTCAGTACTAGTACCCACAGGTATTGCTCCTCTAGTGCATAGGGAAAGCCCTATGATGTGCGCAACAGATTTCCCAATTTGTCCTCTTCCACGAGAGATCCCACCAGCTGTAGCGGGCACCGTACAGTACCAAGCAATAACGGTCTTTTCTAAATAACCTCGCCCGAACACATTCCAGTACCGTGGGGTGGATCTCTCTCTCTCTCAGAAAATTAGAAAAATTAAATTCCAGGCTCAAACATTTGATACTGGTACAAAGCCGTATCGGTGCGGCAGGGGTGGTAACATTCCCCCGACCATGAGTCAAGCTTTCGGCGAAGGAAACCACGGACCATGCAGTCATTGAAGGGGGAAGATCAGACTCGAACGGAGCAATTTGGGGAGGGGGGGGGGGGGGCAGTGATTGCATCAGGCATCAACCAGGGGTGATGGGAAGCCTACGTATTCGTCCGGCCCCGCCGCCCAGCCGACAAATCTCCCGGTCACGGTTCAGCGAGTACGGTAGAAACTTGAGGCACTAGTACAGTACGGTACCGGTATCCAGACATACCGGTAGGCCTCAATTGACAGCCCGCAGCTTGGGCTGGACCTGTGGCTTCTGCTGGTTCACGGCTGATGACCCATATTCTGGAAACTGACGAGATACGGAAGAAAGCACCGGTAGAGGAAGGAGATGTGCAAACCCGCGAACCACGTTGCGATGGTGAATGAAGTACGTGTAGGCTACTTGTACTGGTATTTTCGCCCCATCAATGGACAACGACCTCGCAAGTCTAACAATCCCACACAATCCCCCTAATCCCACAACACTCCCCCTCCTCTTCTCGCCTACTCCCCTTCCACTCGCGTGCATAGCCGGGAGGGTCTCAGGGTGGAAGAGAAAGGGCATAAAAAAACCCGTCAGCACTCGATATAAAATTATTATTATTATTATTATGATAACACAATACGACAATCTGTGAAACCTCAGAAGAAAAAAAAAAAAGAAAGAAAAAAAAGCAACCCCCCCCAAGAAATGTCCCCTTACGCGCTAGCGCCAAAATGGACCGAATCGCAGGCAAAAGAGAGGGAAGGCTCCCTCCCTCCTTCTCCACTTCCCACTCATCCGCACGCCGGGCGTAGACTAACCGACGGGGCCACCATGGCCGCCTTCTCTGTCCCCCAAAAGCGGCAAAAAGAGGCAAGCGCGCGACGAAAGGTTCTCTTGCGATACCGGTGGTCCAAACCCACGCAATGCGACGCAACCAGCACCTTCGGCAGAGAGTAATGAGCGCAGAGTAGTCGTACTATAGTCTAATAGTACTTGTACTCGAGTATAGTACTCGTACGTACGTACGACGCCGCCGCTTCTCGCACTGCTAACTTGGAGGGTCTTGTTTCACGGTCCGGAAGGCTCCGACCACAGATTTGGCTCGCCCGTACCTTACTTCCCCTTTCGGCACCATTCTGCGATACAGTGTCCGCACCGGCAGTGCCAATCTACCCAGCCCAATCCCCACCTGGGCTTCGTGAACGATAAAAGCCATCCATTCCTCCCCTCCTATCATATCGCCCCGACGTCGCATATCCTCCCTCCTCCATACATACATCCATACATACATCCATACATCCATCCATACATCCATCCATGCATCCACCCAGCCATGGATGATAAATTTGCATCTTTATCTCTCTACTCGTACTCGCACTTGACTCAAGTACAAGGTACGGTACCGCATGGCATGAAGATGGAGCAGTCATTTAAGCCTGACCTGCCAAGACATCCCTGTCTGTTTCTGTTGATGGTTTCCCATCCTTGTACCCGACAGGCGCTCGAGTACGAGTACTGTACTGTACTCGAGAACCGGTGTCGGAGAATCGGCTGCGCGAGATGTGCCGATATGTTCCTATTGCCCAAGGCCTCAAATAATTGAGGCGTGTGCTGCGGGTGTCATACTAAATCTGTTGGGATGACGGGCTGGCGGGGATAGCGGATTCCAAGATCCTCTACGTTGCGTCATTGGAGCTGCCTCTTCTTGTAAGACCCGTTGACTTATTTATTGGCTCTGTTTTTCCTCCACTCGCGCCTTCCACAGGGGCTGAACAACTCACCTTTTGCAGTGCTTTCCTCCCCCTTTCCAGAGCAGGAAATTCCGTCCACCTCCAAGTGGGGTGTCGCTCAACCGTCTGAGATCCCGAGGCATTGCCGGAACCCTCGAGCACCGTACGGCGCAATGGGGAGTCGAAAACAAGCAAACAAATAAGCAAGTAAACAAATTGTGATACAAGTACGGTAGGCCCTGGTCCGCAGTTCAAGCTTTTTTTTCTTTTTCTTTTGACTCACGTTTGATAGTCTTGAACCGTGGCAAGGATACAGCTGCAGCCCTCCGGTACTCGTACCCGCAATGTCGAAGCGTTTACGAAGCAGAGCTGCCATTCCATACCCGGATCCAAGCGAAAGGGTCAAATTTTGTTGTTATTCAGTTCTACCCTTATTAAAGATGCATTGACATATGAGCACTGGCTCCCCAGTATCCCCGCATCACAACAAGACTTTCCAACAAAGTCCACTGGTTCTCTTGCTCGCTAGGGTGCGGTGATACCGGTAGAGGCAAAAGGCTAAGACACTGCAAGCGTGACTCGATCGATGCCGGGCCCGGGTGCTCGAGTACCGGTATCCTCTGATGTCTCTTTCTTTCTCTCCTTACTTTTTTTCGCCAAGCTGACATGGGACTGCCGGGCGGGTTGATGTTGTTCCGTCCGTGGGTAGATGGGTGAAAGCTTGTTTCCTCCCGGCGCACGGATTTATATTTCCTGAACCAACGGCACAAGCAGAGACGGGGGGAGGGAGGTTGGGGGAAAGGTAGGGGTTTGATTTGTAGCTGAAGCCTGAAGCTCATAGGTGCGCTCTACCGCAGCACAGCCCTTCTCTGTGCCTCAAGGTCAATGCCTACCGGCATCAGCAACAAGAGGGCAACGAGATGACTATATCCGGATACTCCTCAGGGACATTGTAAACTTATCACAATCTATTTCACTAAAAAAATGGGAGGGAGAGGGTCATCAAAACGTTTCCAAGGGCCGGCGCGCAGTTCTTGGGAGGGTATAGCTTTGCAGACGCAGCCGTACCCGCACAGAACCGGCCACGTACCGTACGATAACATTATTATAGCTTATTGGTACAATACCTATAATGTGGTACAATACCTATAATGGTCGGGATGCCAGTCAATGAATAAATGAAAATTGTTTAAAAAGTAACATAAGATGGGACGGTCCTTCAGACAACGAAGCCCTTCCCATCAAGTGATGCGTGATCGAGCATTCACTTGCGCGAGGCAATCGACGCCAAGTTAGACCGCACCAAGACCGTCATATCATCACGATAAGGGTAAAGAATGAAACAAAACAAAACAAAAGGCATCTGTTATATTTCCGACGTTTTCAGATTATTACCGTATGCTAACAGGATTTCCACTCATCCATTCATTAATCTATTAGTTAATTAATCAATCATTTAATTAATCCATCCATCCAATCACTACGAACACCGGTAGTCTACCTAGGGAAGCATTACCGTATACAAACACCGACCAATCACCCAACCGGGTACGAAAATGTAGAAACCTACAGTACTGCACAGCAACCCCACACATTCCGGGGAAAACGGGAAATCCTCAAGAAAGAGCGGAAACTATACCGTTGACAGCGCAATCACCCCATCGTACAGCGCAGCGTCCAACAACTCCCGGAAGCGAGCACCTCCGGTAAAGGGCTGGGATGGCACAGACGATGCGATACACACGAAAGGGGAATCTGGCGAGAGAGGAAGCATGCCCTCACATACTCTCACTGCGGGCGGGAGACGCGGGTATCTGGCTGGCTGGCTACCATCATAGGGTACCGTATATATACAAGTACATGAAATTAGGCTCTGGTAGGGTTTTCAGGAGGTTTTGGTTTACGTGCCTAGAATGGAGCGTCGGGTTAACGTATTGGACCGGGAAGCCTGCCAGCGGGAGAAGCGAATCGGCTAAAACGCATCCGAAATTCTTTTTAAAATCTGGAGATCTCGATTGGCGTCGTCCGGCAGCACAGCATTTTACGGCACAGTGTCATATGTTGGATTTTTCCCTTTTCCCTTTTTTCTTTTTCTTTTTCTTTTCTTTTTTTGTGTACAGTGCCGGATTCAGAGATTTTGATTTCGGCGAAAAAATTCGCACATGATACAAAATGATTCATGTTTACGTCTGACGCTCCTCCAAGTCTACTCGAGTATCCATACCGGGAATACCGGTACGTTATATCATATCTTGCGTGGTTGGGCTTCAGCTTCCTGGGATGGGGGCTGCTGCTCGGCCGAGGCTGTCGACATGTGATACTGTATTGCCTCTACTATACGTACTATACGAGTGGGGGAGAGCATGAATCCGAGATTTCTTCTTCTTCCTTTCTCTCTTGCGCGAAGCTCAATTCACCCAGTGCCGTGCGCATGATAACTACGGTGGGCTACAGTGTCCCCCGCCCTGTGAACCGCGAATTCAAACCGAACCCCTGAGCGCAATCACATGATATCACTCGAAACCCCGATTCAGCACC